TTCAGCAGCACAGGGGACAGAGGCGCTTGGGGACATCAGCAGCCCTGCACATTCTCTGGTGGAGGGGCAGAGGGCGGGAAGGAAAACCCAAATGTATCTGCAGGTCTCTTCTCCTCCACCATGCGCGACCTGGCCAACATCACCCACAAGGGGCCCAAGTGGATCATCCTCGATGGAGATATCGACCCCATGTGGATTGAGTCCCTGAACACGGTCATGGATGACAACAAGGTGGGCGCCATCCGCGCACGGAGCTGCGCTGGGGCAGGCCCCGAGGCTGCAGCGCGCGACGTGCTGCGTCCCCCGCCGCAGGCCCTCACCTTGGCCAGCAACGCCCTCAACCCCACCATGCGGCTGCTCTTCGAGATCAGCCACCTGCGGACGGCCACGCCGGCCACCGTGTCTCGCGCGGGGATCCTCTACATCAACCCCGCCGACCTGGGCTGGAACCCGTGAGTCCTCGATGGGACCGGGGCTGGGACCGGCACCGGGTCGAGCTCCTGGTGCACTCTGACCCCTCCGCCCCGCGGCAGGGTGGTCACCAGCTGGATCGAGAAGAGGACGGTGCAGTCCGAGAAGGCCAACCTCATGATCCTCTTCGATAAGTACCTGCCCACGTGCCTGGAGAAGCTCAAGTTCGGCTTCAAGAAGATCACGCCGGTGCCGGAGATCACGGTGATCCAGACCACGCTGTACCTGCTGGAGTGCCTGCTCACGCCGCAGCACACGCCGCCCGACTCCCCGCGCGAGCTCTACGAGCTCTACTTCGTCTTCGCCTGCGCCTGGGCCTTCGGGGGGGCCATGTTCCAGGACCAGGTGGGTCCCGTTGGGTGGCCACGCTCCGTCCCACGCTGGCCCATGTCCACGCTGCCACCCTGTCCTGTCCCCTGCAGCTCGTGGACTATCGCGTGGAGTTCAGCAAGTGGTGGGTCAACGAGTTCAAGACCATCAAGTTCCCCTCCCACGGGACCATCTTCGACTACTACATTGACCCTGAGACAAAGAAATTCATGCTCTGGACAGAAAAGGTGCCCAAATTTGAACTTGACCCAGAGGTGCCTTTACAGGTATGTCCTAGGGCCGTCTTTATTTCCCTTTTTTAGTTTGTCCATTAATGCGTGCTCTTCCCCAGGCTGATGTGGGCATGGACAGGGCTGGCACGGTGAGATGTGCGGATATCCGAAGCCGTGTCCTGTCGGCTTTGACTCCGAAATCCCCCGCAGGCTTCCATGGTGCACACGACCGAGACCATGCGGATCCGCTACTTCATGGACCTGCTCATGGAGAAGCAGTGGCCGGTGATGCTGGTGGGGAACGCGGGGACAGGGAAGTCGGTCATGATGGGGGACAAGCTGGAGGCGCTCAGCACGGACGACTACCTGGTGCAGTCCGTGCCCTTCAACTTCTACACCACGTCGGCCATGCTGCAGGGTAAGGGCCGGCCTCGCGGCGGCCGCGCTGCCCC